ATGCACTCTCTCTATGTACTCTCTATAACTGTGTACTCCATCTATCTACTCTCTCTGTGTACTCTATATAACTATGTATTCTCTATGTACTCTCTATAACTATGTACTCACTCTATGTACTATCTCTATGTACTTTCTATAACTATGTACTCTACCTATGTATCCTCTCTATGTACAGTCTATAACTATCTACTCACTCCACGTACTCTCTCTATGTATACTCTATAACTATGTACTCAATCTACGTACTCTCTCTATGTACTCTCTATAATTATGTACTGTCTATTAATGAACACTCTCGTTGTAGTCGACATATGATAGACCAACAGAACCAAACAGCCAGCCAGACATCTCGCACATAAGATCTGTTTATACTGGTTTGAAGGCTTGAACTAACCACACATTTTTATCAACCAAATATAACGAAATCCTGCACCAGAATGTCTAAAAAATGAACTCCTCATGTTTTGACTTCAAAGATGTCCTTCTTCTTGAGGAGTTGGTAACCAAGGCTAAAAATTCCAGCTTCTCATAGAATTTAATTCATAGGTAAGGGAAGACGAGGTGATGATATCATACCTTACCTAAGAGTATTTTTGCATAAGGGAATGTAAGGAACTTGAATTCGAACACTAGCCACCGATTTCTCACTCCAAGCCGCTATCCACTCACTCACTCATCTATCTATCTATCTATCTATCTATCTATCTATCTATCTATGTCTGTTCATCTATCTATCTATCTATCTATCTATCTATCTATCTATTTATCTATCTATCTATCTATCTATATATGTCTGTTCATCTATCTATCAATCTATGTCTATCTATCTATGTCTGTTCATCTCTCTCTCTCTCTCTCTCTATCTATCTATCTATCTATCTATCTATCTATCTATCTATCTATGTCTGTTCATCTATCTATCTATCTATCTATCTATCTATCTATGTCTGTTCATCTCTCTCTCTCTCTATCTATCTATCTATGTCTGTTAATCTCTCTCTCTCTCTCTCTATCTATCTATCTATCTATCTGTTCATCTATCTATCTATCTATATCTATCTATCTATCTATGTCTGTTCATCTATCTATCTATCTATCTATCTATCTATCTATCTATCTATGTCTGTTCATCTATCTATCTATCTATCTATCTATCTATCTATCTATCTATCACAGTCTATTTCTATCTCTTTAGGAATGTATTTTTAATTTATTAATCCGACATATTTTAATTTATTGCCTAATCATTATTTTAAATGGATGCCCATATTTGAGTAAATGCTCTGTTTTTATTTATTTATTAAACAGTATATTTATTTATTTCCATCTACCGGCCTGAATATTCGAGAAAACTTATTAGAAAAATATTCCCTCTCCAGTCGGATGTCGGATTAATAAATGAAAAATTCCATTCCTAAAAACTGTCTTTGTTTATCTTAGGATACGAAACAGAACAGGGAAAGTCCTGTGTCCAAAAACAATATTCGAGCTTTGCTTGACCAGGGGCTTCTATGTGACCTTAATGGCAAAGCACATAATGACGGTTTTCCCTAGGGGACACAGTCACATTTTTTTTAAATGTCAGAAATAAATTTAAAAAATCCTGATTAAAAGATGACGCTAAATTGATCCTCCAAGTAACAAAATAAAAATATTATCAGTGAGAGAACGATCGTTTGAAAAATTACATAAATAAAAAATGGAAACTTTTTAAAAATTATAATAAATTTCATCAAATAAAAAATGGAAACTTTTTAAAAATTATAATAAATTGCATAAAATAAAAAATGGAGACTTTTAAAAAATTATAATAAATTGCATAAAATAAAAAATGGAAACTTTTTAAAAATTATAATAAATTGCATAAAATAAAAAATGGAAACTTTTTAATAATTATAATAAATTGCAAAAAATAAAAAATGAAAACATTCTAAAAATTATAATAAATTGCATAAAATAAAAAAATGAAAACTTTTTAAAAATTATAATAAATTGCATAAAATAATATATTCAATCGTTAAGGTTTTAAAAAAAGATGTCAATTCGTCCATGCATTGAATATTGGTTTTATATCGGGTCTAGTGTTGCTGTTATATATTTTTAGGTTCTTGATAAAATCCAAAGAAAAATCTGCAATGTTATTGGTCGTGACCTGGCATCTTGGCTTCACTCACCAAGCACCCTCGTAGCTTCCCTGTGTCTTTTCTATAAATATATTGTATCCAGAATTTATTAATTCAAGCGACGTGCTAGATTGGCAGCAGGTTCTCACCATTTTACGTGTGAAATAGCTAGATGTTACCGCAGGTTCTATGCTAACAGATTCTTCTCTCGAGCTTCCTGGTTGTTGTTTTCCAGTCAACTTTATTTTTTTATAATGATTTTCACCTTGTAAAAGGCCCAATAGTCACTCAATATGTTACAGAGTAAGAAACACTACCACAAGCAATGTTATAATAACACCGAAACAAAAGAGGCACTTATAAATAAATAATATTTTTGTTGTAAATTCTTAAGAACAAAAAAATGTATAAATTCACATATTTCATCATTTATTTAGGTTTTATTTCAATTCTTATCAGCGATTTGTAAAACAGTAAACATTACCGAAGAGTAGACAGGAAGAGTAGGAGGCACGGTGGAGTAATGGATAACGGCTTGGATTGAGGAATCGGAGAGCCGAGTTCGAATTCCAGTCGAATCCATTCACTTACGTGCTAACACCCTTGGGAAAGTTGTGAATCCTCTTCTTCTCCCTCCAGCTATGGGTAAATAGCAGGACAGAATGGGTTCTATAGACTTGGATGGTAACTGGTCAAAACCTGCGGAGGGTCGTTTGGGGGCCTTGTGGCACGTAGTGCACCAGGGCTCTGTAATCGGCCCTTCAAAAAGTATGGATGGTCCTGCACGAAACCTTCACCACTATAATCAATTCTCTAGTGCTGTTGGGAACTCATCTGAAGCCTATACATGCGGGTTTGGGGACCGCTTGTGAATTCCAAATTCCCATGAAACTCCAATATTGGATCCGGGGCTCTACCCACCCCGGGTGAATGCCGTTACCGAAGAGTGACGGTAGTTAAAAAAGCGGTGTCATGGGAAAAATCTTTTTCCCATGACACTGCGTCTTTTTCCTTTTGACACTAAGTCTTATTTCAGACATATTTAAACATGTTTGCCAAAAAATAATGCCCTTGATGCAACCTCCAGGTTAAAATACATAATAAATAAAGCATCAAGGCTTCCTTCTGTCTTTTCTACAGATATTTTCATGGAACCTGCTCTGACGAGCTAATTTCACTGGTACCCAAACTGCATGAATTTAAGCGTGCTACTAGGCTGGCATCTCGTTTCCACCCTTTCACTGTCGAAACTGCTAAATATAGCCATCTCTTCTACTCCAACAGCTTCTTCTCTCGCACTTCCCGACAATTAAACTCCCTTCCCCTTACTTGCTTTCTTGATAGCTATAATCTTCATATATTCAAATGTAATGTCAATTGACATCTTCTGATGCCTTGATCTTGATTCCCGTCCTTCTCTTTATTCTTTCTTCAAACATCCCTTTTTACTCTTGCTTTCACTCTCTGTAACCCCTTGCGTGCTAGTGGCACTCCTGCCTTGCTTGGGGTGAAATGATTTTAAAAAAAATGCATAATAAATGAAAAGATGAAAATATTTAACAAAGTAAACTCCAAATAATAAAAAGATAGATAAAAGTAAAATCTTAAAAAGATGTCATTAAAGAAAAGTAAAAAAAAAAAAAATCGTTGTTTATGATGGGCTAAATGAAATAATTAAAACAACCACGTTAAAAAGATGTCATTATGAAAAAAAAAAACAGCTTTAAAAAAAATGCCTGTCTATATTTCTGAGATGAGGTATTATGTACACTATTTACATTATTCGGACTATTGTCCTCATCTTTGTCGCCATATTCGTTACAACGTTTCGGCACTTCAGTATCTGTCTATATTTCTGAGATGAGGTATTATGTACACTATTTACGTTATTCTTTGTCGCCATATTTATTACAACGTTTTGGCCGTTGTACGCTCCGGCCTTCTTCAGGTAAACTGAACCCTTTATTTCACTCACTGGGGTAGACTGTTCTTGTTCCACGTTCCATGTTTTTAATGGATGCCAGTTATCAGTTATCTCCTGTTAATTTCCCTCTCCAAATTCTCCAGTGCCTTAACCGGGTATTGAACTCACACGCTTTGTGTCCTGTCACTGGATCTAACCATCGCCTTTATCCACTGTTCCATGTATCCTTGAGGACATCTGTGTTTGAATTTCTGGGTATTTTAAACCTAATGTCATCGGCAACCGTTTTTTAACAGTGCTCATATTACAATTTTGTTGTTATCATAAGGCAGTGGAGAACTTGGAGAGGGGAATTAACAGGAGATAACTGATAAGTGGCATCCATTAAAATCATGGCACGTGGAACTAGAACAGTCTACCCTAGTGGGCGAAATAAAGGGTTCAGTTCGACAGTCCAACCACCTGAAGAAGGCCGGAGCGTAGAACGGCCGAAACGTTGTAATAAATATGCAGACAAAGATGAGGACAATAGTCCGAATAATGTAAATATTGTAAAAAAATGTCGTAAATAAGATCACTAGAATATATATATATATATATATATATATATATATATATATATATATATATATATATATATATATCATAAATAAAATACTGAGTTAAAAAGATAGGCATATCATAAATCAAAGTTCTGGTAGGTATCATAAATAAAACAATCGTACCAAGAAATGTCGTAAATAATAACCCCAGGTTAAAAAATATGTCAAAAATAAAAAAGCTTAGGTTAAAAAGAAGCGAAAAAAACAAAACAAAGATACCCTTAATAGATCGCATATGTTAAAAAGATGTCGTAAACCAAACCCCAAGGTTAAAAAAATGTCGTAAAGAAAAGCCCAGGTGGATAAAAGAGACCCTTTAAATAGAAATAGAAGATGAAAGATGAAATTCCGTGAGTTAAAGAGAGCAAACAGAGGCGAACATGTAGAAGTGGAGATTTGTATCAATAAGGTCGTTCCTACATATTTGACAGTGATGAAGGAAGAATTAAGAAATAAATATTTCTATGCAGTAAGTCGTCTGATGGAGAAGAAGATAGGTAAAAGCAGTGAAAACATAGATTTGCTTCTTGCCTTCCTGTGTGTACGACCGTTACGCTATGCAAACAAACTACATATGATAACCGTTGCTCAACCGATACTAGTGAAGTGTCTCTCGCCAGGGTTTCTCATCAATCTTTCATCATTCTTTCTTTCTTTCTTAATAGTATCTTCTCTTTCTTTTTCGATATTCCACATTATTTCTTTCTTTCATTCAATCATTCTTTCTTTCTTTCTTTCCTCCCTTCCTTCCTTAAAATTACCCAGTCTTTCTTTCGTTCTTTTTTCTTCTTTCTTTCTTTATTTCTTTCTTAATAGTATCTTCTCTTTCTTTTTCGATATTCCACATTATTTCTTTCTTTCATTCAATCATTCTTTCTTTCTTTCCTCCCTTCCTTCCTTAAAATTACCCACTCTTTCTTTCGTTTTTTTCTTCTTTCTTTCTTTCTTTCTTTCTTTCTTAATATTCCACACGTCTTCTTTCTTTCTTTCTTCTTTCTTTCTATCTTAATATTCCACGCGTTTTCTTTCTTTCTTTCTTAATATTCCACTCTTTCTTTCTTAATATTCCACACGTCTTCTTTCTTTCTTTCTTTCTTTCTTTCTTTCTTTCTTTCTTTCTTTCTTATTACCTACGCTTTCTAACCAAACATTTCACACTCTTTCTTTCTTTCTTTCTTTCTTTCTTTCTTTCTTTCTTTCTTTCTTTTCGCCATCTTTCTTTCTTTCGTTTGTTCGTTGGTTTTTTCTTTCTTTTTCTTTGTTTCTTTCTTAATATTACACTCTCTTTCTTCCTTAATATTCCTCAGTCTTCTTTGTTTCTTTGTTTCTTTCTTTCTTTCCTAATATTCCTTACTCTTTCTTTTTATCCTTCTATACCTCAATCTTTCTTTCTTTCTTTTTCTTAATATTCTCCTTTCTTCCTTCTTTTCTTTCTTTCATTCTTTCTTACTTTTTTTCTTTCTTTATATTCTTCACTCTTTTTTCTTTCCTTATTTTATTTGCTCAAATTAGCTCGCATATCCATGAGTCTATCACACCAACCATA